GGCGCCATACAAATTTCAACCTAACCTAGAGTGCCGCCATATAAATCGGGTGTGGCGAAAAGCGGGGGGGTGGGGGGGGCGGGGGGGGGTGTATTGTCCCAAAAAAAAATTACAATGTTTGATTTCAGCGAATATCAGTCAAGATGGCAGAAGGGATAGAAAGGAAATAAGAATAATTACCAAGGTGTGTTGCCGAGAACAGAGGAAGGACAGGCAATGCCCGATGGCGATCGTCTTCGTCTGCCCCATGGTCGGCATCGTCCTCATCTTCATCTTCTTCCACTTCGTCTTGTACACCGTCGACCTCTTCGTCAAACCCGACCAGGTCTTCCTCGTTTGTATCCTCATCATCGTCATCGGCTTCGGTGAAATCCGCAGTAGCGTGGGCTCGACCAGTAAACTGATGTTGTCGAGGGGGCCCGGACGAGGGAGAGACGGAAAAGTCACGGATATCAAGACGACGAGACCCGCGCTTGGGGCGGCGCAGGAGTGACGAGAACATGGTCTAGTAGCCGGCGTCGCCTTTGGAAGTCAGAGCATCCAGCGTAGCGCCTAGTAGGATATGCTTTCCATGAGGAGCGATGGCACGATGGTGTCGCTCGCCCGAGAGTGTGGACGAGAAAAGGCGAATATGAAGGGAAACATTGACGACGCCTGGAGTCGTCGACATCGAAACCACGATGGGCGTTCAAGGTTGTAGCCAGCACTTGAGTGCCGCTAGCAACGTTGGAAAAACTAGGCTGGCCACCGGCGCGCAGCTCTAGAGACCAGTTGACCGGGATCCAGTCAATTGATGGTGGCCGCCAACTGGGTCCAGATGTCAGCTGGGGAAAGAGAACCACAGCGCCCAAGCACCAGCCAGCACTTGAGGGGACATGGCATCTAGTGCCCATTATTCAGGGATTTTACTTCATTCACAGCCCATTGTGCGAATACTTGAGTTTTGTGTGGTGCATGCTTCTGATGACACAGCCACCAGTGGCGACTACGTCAGCCAGCTGTATCCCGATGAGAATCTGGGCCCAGTGGTGCATCTTGGCGAACTGGCCATGCTACGCCAAGTATTTACACGCATAGCAGGGCGTAATGCAACAAATATTATGGCCAGGAGACGCGACATGCACCGCGCGTGTATGGAGTAAGTAGGGAGTAGGGAGTACGGACATGAAGTACTAGCACGGAGTAGCGTATTGCACTAAGTTCATGCAATCCCACTCGACCTGTGAGCGAGTGGACCAGCCTCGCGGGATCCCAAATTACAGGGCGACCAGGGCCTCGCCAGACTTCCGATGTTATCAATTGATTATTTGGTCGAAGCAGTCAGTTTTTGCCAGCAGAGGGAAATTTGTCAGCCGGTGGTATTGGGTCAATTGCTCGTGCAACAACCCCGACAGGCCACCCGTCTTTCGACTATGGACAGTATATCACGCTCCCAGAGTTGAATCACCGCCAGTTTGGATATCCAATCGATCAACCAACCTAAGTGGCTGCAGGCCAAGCTTGCATTCCAAGCTAGCCATGCACGACCATCAAGATTGAACGCATGACACCCCCATCAGCCGTCAAGACTTGCATAGTGCATGTGGTGGACTGCCACATGCCCCGTCTTCAAAATTCATTGGGCTAACTTACATTGCGAGGCAGCCCTTCAATGTTTCCTTGAACGCGCTTCGGCCCTCGCCCCGTGGTTCTGCGACCAGACTTCAGACCGACACGGGCTTGCTAGCCTTGCGGGTCGCGGCATCGGGTCGGCGATGTCTGGTAATACGGAGTAGTAGTTCCTCCAAAACAATCATTTCTGAAGAAGCGGGATAGAGGCTCGATGCGGCCATGTTGTTGCGATTGCCTTCTAGAAGCCAGCAGCATACAAAACTTCAAAGAGCAGCGGATAAGTTTCCAGTCTAAGGAGGAAATCACGTTGCATGCTCTCTCATTGTCCCAGGACGAACTATGTTCAAATGTTGACTCACTGAACCAAAAGACGCTGTTGCCCGTCCAGTTCGCGTGTCAGCCAATCCCCGCTTGAGACGAAGCACGGCGGCGATTGACGCATCTTGCATCTTGCATTTTGCATTTTTGCATGACATACTACTTATTATGGGTTACGACTCGAGCTGCCGCTGTTGCATCAAGCGATTGGAAGATCCCTGCCGGGTGGTTGCATTAAGGCACTGTAAAGGCAAAGTATCACTGTGTAGAGACAGACTTGCGCCGTTGGCCGTGAAAAATCTGATACTACATGAGTTGAGTTGAATAGTTGTGACATATCATTTTATCGCTTTTGCAAATTCAATCAATACACCAAGTCGTGGTCTGTCTGGAAGAGCAATCGGAGCATAATGTTTGGGCTCGCCAAACAGGGAGGACAGTGCCCACAAAAGAAATACGAACAAAGCAACATCGCTTTGATGGTGAATCAACCGAGTACTCAAATCGGTTCATTAGTAGTAGCACGATAATGAACGCAAATGGGATTTGCATGTCGTTATGGTGCAGGGAACAATGCCGAAGGCTACGTTTGTCCTATTTCTCGAGTACAAAGTACGGAGTACCCTGGTAGTAGTTTGGCCGCGGACGAAATGTGGCTGGAGCTATTCTGGGAAAGAACAAGGAAGCTCACGCCACAGGAGGTGGCACGGGTCCACCGTTTCCTGCAACTGTCGCCTGGAAGTCAATAACTATATTGTCTTGGGACAAGGGCAACACGACCATCGCCCTTTGAAAAAGAGGACAATATTGACTATTAGGACTACCGATTACCTTGGTATGCGTATCTGATTATATAGGACGGCCCACGAACGCATCCATGTTGTTTATACTAATGCGAGGAGAGAGGTGACCAGGATCCTCTCTTATGCGGCTGCAACTAACTAATAGACCCGTGCCGCGTTAGTAAAAGCAAGGTTTCAAAACCGCGGAGACGGCGCGATGCGTTTACGGCCCTGGCGACAACCGCCACGTTGAGCACTTAATAATAAGTGCATACTTCTGATAATGTTGCACTTGTCCTCATGACGCAAGTGGAATTGGGTAGACCTATATTCAAGAAATTGACGTGACGCTAGTTTACTGCGATAAAGTCGCTGCTGAACAGATCCGGCGGAATCGCCCTTCCCTCCTGCAATAGATGAGTATAAACGTCTCAATGATAACATTGAACAAGCAGTTGTTTTGAGTAACTGACCATCAGGGAGGAAGTCAGGGGTCAAGCATGCTTCAAATTTCGCTTATTGTGGTTAGTGTTGGTCGTGCCCTGTCCAGCAACGAAATAACAGACCCTTAGTACCAGACTTCGTCTCAGGGGCCAAACAAGCACAGTTCTTGCTGCATCATGTCTGTAACTGCTCCGCTGTATCGCCAAGCCTTCTTCAGATCAATTGCGGCAACACTACAGAACGGAGTGTGCTGGACCAGGCCTCATTGATGATAATATTTCTGCAGTGTTCTTAGTGCTGGGCTTTGAGTCCTTGAAAATACATTGTCACCGTCCGTGTCTGGGTCTGCCCCCAGTAACGACGACCAAGTCTTGCAAAGTCTCAAGTTCCTTGAGCCTTTGTGCCTGTAGGAATGAACCGTCTTGGTCCCCATTGTGACTTGAACGATGCTCATGTCGCATGTCGCGGTTAACCGCACCCAGCACTTGAGACGTCAACTGTGCTCAGCGCCTCCCGAGTACCCTACTCACTTCAGTGCTCTGCTCACCTCCCCAGCTTGCACCAGTGACCTTAATTTCTCCACCGCCACATTGAAGTCCCCTGTCAGGCCATAGACCCGAACCTGCCGTTCCTTACCCCGTCACTCGTTTTCTTTTTATTGGCACTTTTTTTCTTCCCGTTCTCTCTTGTGAATAATAACTGTTCTTGTTCGACCCTACACGCGTCTTTTTTGAATTTTCCGGACGTGTCCGTGTGCGTCTTGTCAAGCATCGGCGTTGTACGGCCATTGCACAGCTTAAGCGCTGGCTGCTGTCTCAGCCATATCCAAACCCCTCGATGAAACAGCAAAACTCCGTCCAAGTCTCCTCAAGGATTCTATCTGCGCCCATTCTGGGTCACGAATCGTCTAATACCACCGATATCTGACGCCGGCACAGTGGAGGAAAGTGGGCTGCCAACAGATACGAATTCGTGGTGCATCCCCTGTCACCACAACATTGGATTGCACCTGTCCACATCGAGCATCATGGTGCATTCCGAACCCGAGGAACCCACAGGCTCAACGGCCGAGACACAGGCAATGGGTGCGGAGGAGCCGAAACTAGGGCATCCCTCTTCTCCCTCAAACGTCGATGAACGAACCTCAACAACCGCCGACTTGAAGGGGAAAGCAGATGAGTCAGACGAAATAGAATGGTGGCGGCGCATCAAGACGGGGACCGAGGAGCCCAAGCAAACTGCAAAGTCTGACGACGCAGATGAAGCAGGCGAGACCGAAGAAACAGAAGCCGAGACTCCCAAGATGGCGCACGACTCAATGGTCACTGTGAGGCTCTCTGAGCCGCCACCTCTGAGTCTCGATACCATGGCCGTCACACCCAACGCCGAACCCATAACACCCACCTCGCCCATTGCAGGAGAGACCTCAACAGATGCCAACAACGACGGTCTCGAAAAGGAGAAATATACCGAAACTCGTGACAGTCTTATGAGAATACCTCGAGTCTCAGCACCTATACAATCACCAACCGACGCTAACCGTACTCTCCAAGACGAGCTCGGCCTGTATGGTGTTGATGGTAATGAAACTGATTCATCCGAGGATAACGAAGAAGTGAATTGGGAGCAACTTGAAAAAACCGAGGACGAACAAATGAAGGATGAGGAAACGGACAATGTATGCTCCAGCAACACTCCAGACTATCATGCTTATCCGTGCTAACCACGGATCAGTCCACTGCTCTTCTCCTGGCACGTCTGGAACAGGAAAATGCAAAGCTGGCTACTAACCCGAAGAGTGTTAAAGTTCAGACTGTGGAAAAGCTTTCGTCAACCAAACCCAGGCCGCCGTCCATGGCCCAACTGAGAAAGATGGTCAGCGGCCCAACACCAGCTGCCCTACGATATTCGATGTTACCCCCTCCCCCAATGACCGATTTGGAATTTTATGCGGCTCTTGTCAAGGATTATCAGCAAACGGCAGCTCGTCTGCCAACTCTTTTGTCTAACAAGATTCGCAAGGGTATCCCGCCTCCATTGAGAGGCGTCGTATGGCAGAGCATGTCAGGTGCTCGTGACTCAGTTCTCGAGGAACAATACGAACGTTTCTGTGGCGAAACTAGCCCATATGAGCTCCTCATCGGCAAAGACCTCGGTCGAAGCTTCCCTGGAGTTGACATGTTCCGTGACCCCGATGGCGATGGGCAACGTATGTTGGGCAGAGTGCTGAAATCCTTCAGCCTGTACGATACAAAGATAGGCTACTGCCAGGGGCTGGCATTTCTTGTTGGGCCTCTGTTAATGCATATGCCCGACAAACAGGCGTTTTGCGTACTAGTTCGGTAAGTCATGTGTGAGCATTCTGGTACCCGAATCCAGATGGTACTAATTCACATTCCCTAGTCTCATGGAGAAGTACGATCTACGAGAATGTTTCCTGCCTGACTTGTCTGGATTACACGTTCGCATATACCAGTTTCGCGAACTTCTTCGACTGAATTTGCCTGCGTTGGCTGATCATCTTGACGAACTCCAGGTGGAGACAGCATATGTTTCGCAATGGTTTCTCAGCTTCTTTGCCGTGACATGCCCTTTGCCGATGCTATTCCGAATCTACGATGTCATCTTTGCTGAGGGGGCCTCTGAGACTTTGATGCGTGTTGCACTATCGCTCATGAGAAAGAATGAAACGCGCCTTCTGGCGTGTACAGAGCTGGAAGATGTAATGCAGCTTCTTCTATCTCGAGGATTGTGGGACTGCTACCACTACAACGCAGATGAGTTTGTACAGGATTTTGCCAGCTTAGGCGGCGTCGTCACCAGAGAGAGGTTGTCACAGCTAGCGCAAGCATACAGGGAGTCCCTAGTTGCAACAGCCAATGCTGCACGAATGTCCGACATTACGACTGCTGCCAGCCGTTTCCTTGGTCGCATCTGGGCCGCGTCAAGCAAGAATGGTAGCTTAGCCCCAGCTTCGACAACCGGCCCTGCTCGACCACTGAGTATGCTCCGCCGCAGTACGTCCAAGCAAAGCATAGCTTCGACGCTCAACTCCATGGAAGCAAGCTCTGTAAGCGTTGTGAGCACCGCTTCCACGGATGCATCTACAATCTCCCGAGACTCTGCAAATGGTGAAGACGAGCCATCAAGCCGAGAATCGACCCCAGTTGGCCCGAAAACTCTGGCCAATACCAAAACTACGGAGGAGAGATATCTACACAGTCAAATCGAAGATTTGTTGACGGCCCTAAGCGAATTGCAGAGGAATCACGCGCTTCTCTCTAATCAGCTGCAATCCGAACGGGAAGAGCGAGAGGAGGACAGAAAGACTGTTCGGTCACTGCTAGATGGCTTGCGTAGAAGGGTAGTTGATCATGATGTAGCGAAGGGCCAAGAAGAGATAATACCACCATCGAGGACTGAGGAAGGAGAGCCTCCCATCACCGGAATGGAAGATGATGATGCGACACCCACAATAGAAGACCCGGTGCTGGAGCCAAAATCCACAGCCGAGGACGATTACAGCGAAGATGCGCCGTCCACGGGAGACTTATCCGAGCTTTTGGACAGGGTCGAGAGTCGCTTCGCGATCGATGACGGAAACGGAAAGCATCGATCGTCAATGCTTCAATCCAAGTCCCAGCTTCGTGAAGAGCTGCTCAACACCAAGGGCCAACTTGCCAGTGCTGTGTCGCACTCTCAAGAGCTTAGTCGCCGAATACACGAAATGGATCAGGAACTCTCTGCTTTGAGGGAGCAACTACGCGAAAGACATGGGCATGTGAGGACGTTGCATCAAGACAAACAGCGATTGGAGAAGCAGATTCATGGTATGAGAGCCAGAATTTCCAGCAGCTCTATATCAGAGCCTAATAATCGAGATGCCGATCCGGATTGGGTGGGGAAGGGCAAGAGTGGCGGCTTAAGGGAATTTAAGCTTGGCCGAAGCAAATCAACGCCGCAGACCCCTGGTTATGGTAAAAGAATCTCGTCTCTGCCCCAAAATCCCGAGTCTGTACTTGCTGCGGGTTCAGGAGTCGCGACACCGCCAAATGAACACGAGGCATTACTTCTCGAGCTCGTCCAAGCCAAAACAGCTGAGGCGACAGCGAAGCAAGAGGCTGAAGAGGCTAAGCAAAAGCTGGAGGCTCTCCGAAAAGCACACGTTGTACCATCAGATTCTCATGGTGCTTCACCTGGGTCGGCCTCTCTTGGGGTTTTCAGTCGACTTACCGGACAAGCAACGACGCCGCCTGCCGAAAATACCCTTAAACCAACAGCAGCCACTGCTGGTACATCCCCCAATACAGGAGGATTCTGGGGATGGAGGAGATGACACCAAGACGATGGTGTACATAGCAAAGCGATGGTATGGGTGGCTGTTACAGGCAGTTCCCAAAAAGAAGTGTCATTTTTTTTCGGGGATGGATGCATATGGCAGGGAGAGAGCAACGTGTTTTTATGACGCCGCATATTTTTATGTACATAATAACTGAGAGAGCGGGCTTGCCACAGTATATGCGTTGAAGGAGGCGAGGGAAATGTATCGCTAGGTAGGACTGTTGAAGGTGTTATACCCCCGGATGATAGAAAATGCGGAGTTGCTGGTAGAATATGTCAATAGACTTAAACATGTGTGTCATGGGTGTGATGGGGATTTAGACATCTGGACCACGGCTGTGAGCAGAAGTCCTGAATCCCATATTATTTATTATCTATGTTACATTAGGGTGCCCGGTGGGTGGTGGATGACGATGGCGCAGATTCTCAGAACCAATCGACGGATCCACAAACGGGGTCAAACCGGACTTGACGGGAGGGTCCGATGCCAAGCAGGAGACAGGCAAGACGTCAAAGGCGGAGGGTATGCAGTCAGTCACAGTGGATGATGGACAGAAGTGGTCAACGTCATCGTGCCTTGTTTACTGCAGGGAGTCGGGGCAAAGTCGCATCATTAGCTGTTCGAGCACCTCAAGCTGGTAAGGGACCTACCTAGGTAGTTACCTAGCAGGTATTCAAGTTTTACGTCTACAGGCCGCTTTTGCGGAGTCGTCAATCCTTGGTGCTGCACATTAACCTGGGAGCTCCGATAACGATAACGGAGCTTCCCCTCCACAAGTTTTGGCTTTCGAACTAGGCGGGACGATAACGTCAGGCTGTCGAGATGTCGCGTGAGCAGCCAAGCTAGCCTCGGGTGTCTAGCGCACAGTGAACAGTTTATGCAGACTATCCAACACCATATTCCCCGAAAGACCGGTGGGCATCGTCATCGTATGACGCCGGCGTGCCGATGACACATTTGGCGCGAGGAGTCAAAGGATGTTGTGAAGTGCCCCGCCGGTCGTCACTTGTGTCAAGTCAATCTAAGCATATCTGTTGTGATTTTGCGTTGGTGTTAACAGACTAAATGACCAACGGACCACGCTAGCTTCAGCGAGCATGTGTTGAACTGGTCATGGCATTGGAGCTGGCGTCGTCACTGGTTAGCAAGCTCCAGGCTCCACAGCTGTTGTCTCGCTCCCTGGCAGGGGGGGAGGCTGCTTGCGCTGGCGTTTGGCACATGCTTTTTTGGCCCTCCAGTGTTTGGCCCTCCACGTCGAGCGTCATTTCCGTAATGAAGGGACGAATGGAAGAAAGTGTGCTCGAAATACCGAGTGTACGGGGCCGCGAACCTGCGTTGGACTGATGGGGGGGGGCCACGACCGCCACCACTAGATAGACGGGCCACGAAGGCGTCGCACATGCACCAGTCAGTGTCTGGACGGGCATGGCATGGACTTCACACTCTGGAGGAAGGCGTTGATGTCAAGGTACCGAGTAACTTCCTGTTTTCCGCCTGTATGCACCAGTTGTCCGCTGGTGCTGGTGCTGGTCTTGCGCTGCTTGAGCCTGGCACCTACCCGTGCTATCTTATCCCGTGCTTCCGTCTGCAGTCATCTACTGCCTACTCCGTACCTTGGTAGTTATTTCCCAACTCTGTCCTTCTCTTCCGCCTGTCTTCTCCTCCTTCCCTCCCCCTCTACCCCTCAAAACTCGGCGCAGATCAAACCTCTCGTCTGCTTTCGAACTGCAAGCTTCGACACTCTTCCTAAGGTACGAATTCACCATATTTATCACCCCGAACCTCCCGAGACACCCTGTTTGTTTTTTCCCCTCCAGAAAAGTTCCCCCTGCGTGACGCTGCGCTCTCCATCTCTCTCCACCTACCGACCCTCGACCCCTGGCAGCCTGGGCCAGCTCACACTAGCTTTGCTGATACGGAGCTCTAGAGCTTTCCTTTGCTTACACTTTGGCCCTCTTGGCCCACCGCCCCCTAGAAACAGAAAATATTCCAATCTTGCAACCCGAACCCCTGCGCACCTCCGAAGGAAAAAAAAACATACCACAACATCGGAATACCTGCTCAAGTCGCATTCAACTTCCATATTCACAATGGCTGATACCGCGCCCAACGGTGGTACCATTTTGGACACCACCAAGAACAGTACGGTATGTCTATTCGGTCACCCTTTGATTGTCCACATTTGCAGCAAGGCCCGCTGACCAGAAGCTGAAGTAACTTCCACATGTGACGATATCGTCATGCTACTATCCCGCAGAACGCGACGCAAGACCTAACTCAATTTCCCTAGGTGCCGCTGCTGCTTACGACTCTGTGACAAATGGTGAGATCTTCATACTGAAAATAAAGAAATAGCTTCCGCATGCCATCTTATGCGTACGCGCGCTAACCCGTCCGTCTCTCCGTATCCAGGTCCCGTTACTCAGAATGTCAAAGACCAGAGTGCAAAGACTCAGGCTGAGTTTTCCAACCTTGCCGCCTCTCGCAAGACTCCCACCACGCCTGCTGCCACCGGCCAGCCTCTTACACACTATCACTCCCTCTTCTCGGAGCTTCTGTCCTGGAAGAACCCTCGTAAGTCTTGGTCTTGTCCTCCAACCTCCCCCTTGATGGACACCACTATCACTGGCTGTGACAATTGCCTAACTTTCTGCATCAGGTGCCTCCGCTATTGCATACGCTTCGATTGTCTCCTTCATCTTCGCCCTTAGGTACCTCGATGTGATCCGCTGGGGTCTTAAGCTGTCTTTCATGGCTCTTGCCATCACAGTCGCCGCTGAGGTTATTGGTAAGGTCGTCCTCAGCCATGGCCTGGCTACCCAGATGCGACCCCGCCATTATTGGACCGTCTCACGGGCTACTGTCGATAACATGATTGGCGATGTTCATGAACTCATCAACTTCTTCGTTATTGAGGCTCAGAGAATTCTCTTCGTTGAGAACGTCGGTGCTTCTGCTGCTGTGAGTCGTGGCTTCGTCTCGAAACTATTGGCCTTTTAGAGGTGCTAACAGTGTCAACCATAGGCAGGCATCGCGGCCTTCATTTCCTACCATCTCGTCAAGCTTGTTCCCTACTGGGGGCTCGCCATCATTGCCACAACCGTTGCCTTCTTCGTTCCCCTCGTCTACACATCCAATCAGGAGTTGATCGACCAGCACCTTAAGAACGCCTCCGATGCCATTAGCGCCCAGACTGCCCAGGTCCGAAGCGTTGCCCAGAAGCAGGCCGATCAACTCGCCACCATGGGAAAGCAGTACGCCGGAGACTACACCGGCAAGGTGCACGAGATGCTCCGTGGCCGTGGCGCTCCCGCTCCTTCCGGCCCCCCTAAGCAGTCCATCCCCGTTGCTCCTGCTAAGAAACCCGAATTCCCTACTCCCCCCACCGAGGAACCCAAGTCCACGAAGACGGCCGAGCCTGAGGGCGAGGTTCCCGAGGAACCCGTCATCCCCGAGACAGAGCCTTTGGTTGCTTCCTAGGTGGCTCACCATGACAAATTCCACGTGTACACGAGATAAAAGGAAGAAGGCATAGCTGGACTAGGCGGTAAGGCTTTTGATCTGCTTTTCAAACGAGGCGCATGTCTTTTGCTCCATCAACGGGCCGGACAAATTTGGAACTATTCGGGCTGCATTGGGTTTACTTGGAACATTCGTTATTTTGCCTCGAGAAATTCTCGAGAACGATTCGACTGCCGAAATTGAGGAAAATGAAAGGAGCGTAGTGAGAATGCAGTGGCGTTGGAGAGATTTCTCATCTGTGAAACAGAAGAGAGACCATTGCGACTGCGATGGAGAATGTAGGACAAGTTCTGTACGGAGATGGGTATTATACAACCCACGTAGTTCACCATTTTAATGGATGTGGTTACGATTTGCTTCCTTTTCTATTCTCCCCTTTGATCAAGGACAAGGACTGTTTACAACGGCGCTGGAGTCCAATGGTCGAAAATGTGTTGAGTGTTGTGTGAATACATATTTATTTGTTTTGGGGGCTCCTTGTCCGTGCTGGACGTTCTTGATCATTCACTACCAAGATTGTACAAATACAGATTGAACGTGTTTTGTTTCAGGGATTTGATGCTTTCTGTCCTTTTGCAGGTGAAACGAGAAAACATTGGCCAACTAATCAAGCTTCCAACACTTGAATTTTTCAGCTCTAATAAGTAGCAGATTGCAGATCCATCTTCATGCAACTTTTGACTGCCATAGAAGACTAAGCATATAAAATGAATCATGGTTTATTCTCTTTAAAATATGACCACACCCTCTAGAGAGCTCTGGCCCCCAAAATTCCTGACGCCCCCTTCCCCCATTCTGCCCTTTCGTTTATTAGCGTCTATAGCAATTGGGTAGCTGGGTTATTATCAAGGTCCAAGTCCACTTGCAACTCATGTACTCTGAAAGAAACTTGGGTCAGGCCTGAACTATTCCACGCCGTTTGAAAGAAAGCAACAAGATACGCTCGGCGACGTCGCGCAAGTCATGCGCATAATGAGAAGAGTGCTTGACGGAGGGTAAGATGTAAAAAAAGGTGACAGAGGCGGTGCCTGCCTGACTTGACATGGAGTGTCACAACACACGGCCTATGGTTCCGACAAGATTACAATACGACGGCACGCATGCCGGGCACGGGAGCAACAGCTATTTCACGCAGGGGCTTCAAGACACCAGTTTCCAGAGGGGGCTACGGAGATTGCACTCCGATACGAATAGACTGGCTATCTAGAAGCGTCGCAGCCCAGGGAGATGCAAAGCTGAAGCCTACAGGCGCGTCGCGTACGGAGGACATGTTTACCAAGTTAGCCGGCTGCGGCTATGTTGGCAGCGCAAGATTGGTCTCTTGGAGAGAACGTCGCTGCTACTCGGGGCCTGTGTCAGCACCAGGTGCGGGCCGAAAGGTCGTTCAGAATGCCTGTTATAAACTAATTTGTGCTGTTGAACGGGCACATACGACCATAGCCGCTGGATAAATCTGGATCCCCGTCAAGCTC